TTTGTTCCCTATGCATTTGTACAGACAATGTGAGTATTGCAGATTCGATAGATCGGTTTTATATCCGAAATTAAATCAAATCCGAAGGAATTCGGATTTAAATCCGAACCGGTTCCAAACTCTAAGTATAACTACTTCATTCTTAAGCATTCTTTGTGTTTGAAACTTCTTGTATAGTCTAGTAAGTTGTTCTTGTCTTTATTTAATAATTAGGAGTTTTTTTTTCCAATAAACCAACTAAATTTGGCATAACAATCATATATATACATATGTCGTAAGTAGGAACAGAATTTAAGTTGATTCGGAAATTTTAAGGTTTGGGTTTTTAGTATAATTATTCCGTTCTAATCTAAGTGGATTATGATTCCAACATACAGTATATATTTTATAGTAATGTAGTATATGATAAAACCTCTCCTGATTCTTTCGCATAGTGCACATTGCACACTCGTTAACATTCGTTACTAGAGATAGATTATTTCATGTATACATATATATATATATATATATAGTACTTTAAATTATATAAATATAATTGTAAGCGATTGACCAATCAGAAGAAAGTTTAACCTATAACATCTCAACTTGCTTTTTATGCCGTCATTATTGGAGATCCATCATATACGTATTACATCATTATTCCCTCTTTTTCAAACCTTACTCGGAAAATGAATTTCATTTCTATATTAAAATGGGACAGGGCTTTAGCTTATTTAACTTATTTAACGCAATATCTTGTGATAATCATCGCCAATCAATCAAATTTAATGTCCGGGCTCTTGATAAGAATAAGCGCACGTTAACTTTTGCCAAAAACGGGTCGAATACATCATCTGTTTTTTCCTTAAAGTAGGAAATTACAACCCCATTTAATTTGCAGAATTGAACTTTATCTACTTTATCTACGTCAGTAATTAATTATTTAAAAGAAAAATTTTATGGTATTTTTTTTCTAAAATTTTCTAAAATTTTCAAATTAATCTCTTAGATCCAAGATGCCACAACTTGCTGACGGTCCGTCGCCTACTTCTCCAACTTTCGATGGGAAAGTAACCAGACTTATAGTTGTTTCTAACCGTTTGCCAGTCACAATCACAAAAACTGATAAAGGCTGTACCTTTAAGTTGTCTTCTGGCGGTCTGGTGAGCGCGCTCAGCGGAGTGAAAAAAAGGATGACATTTACTTGGATTGGATGGCCTGGTATGTTTTTTAATTTCTTTTATACATCATTTAACTATTGTAAATATCAATCATTTATAAATTTCTAAATAATTTAATTATTTAGGTATTAACATACCAGAAGAAGAAAGAAGTGAAGTCACTAAGCAATTAGAGGAATTAGAGGAATATTCATGTGTTCCTGTTTTTGTTGATGATGATTTGGCCGATCGGCATTATAATGGTTTTTCCAACTCTATATTATGGCCATTGTTTCACTATCATCCCGGCGAAATTACTTTTTCCCAACAAGATTGGGAAGCGTATGAAATTGTTAATGGTCTTTTCGCAGATGCCATTAATAACATTGTTCGGGATGGTGACTTGATATGGGTTCAAGATTATCATTTGATGTTACTACCAGCTATGTTGAGAGAAAGAATGGGTGAAAACAAGTTAAATGTAAAAATCGGATTTTTTTTACATACTCCATTTCCAACCAGCGAGATTTATCGGTAAGATGTAATTTTTTTTTTTTATCAATTATAATAATATAAAAATAAACTATCAAATTCTAAGAACTTTGTTTATTTAAAATAGAATTCTTCCTGCTCGCAGAGAAGTTCTCACT